AAAATTCGATTTTTATATTACTGTATTGTCTGAATTTTCACGATTTTCAAAATTTACTTCTCGAGTGTTTCAAGAAAATTTAATCCATTAACAAATTCATGTGATGCAAAAACTATTGAAGAAATAATGTGGTGAACATTTAGTAATATTATTAAAATATTGCTACAGTCTTCCGGACATTTTTTCCTGAGTTTTGAATAATATCTCAAATATTATTACGAAATATATTTTAAATATGTTTATAGTAGGTGTAATGAACGTAACCGTATGAAATTTCAAGAAAAATTTGCTCACACTGCAATGGCAAATTAAGAAATGTGCAATAAATAAATTACTTTCTTTATTACTTATTTTATAACCCTTTTTTTTCAGCACTTGCTAAATTACTGTTACACGAGTAATTATTAACAGAAGATTTACTTGTTATATATGCAAATAAATGAGATTTAATTTGCAGTCATAAATAAGTCAATTATATCTTCAAACACAATTAATTCATTTTGCAATTTCAATATTCCACTAGTTTAATCAAAACAATTTATACATATCTAGATAATCTCTTAAGTATTCCGAGCAATTCAACAGATATCAGAAAATAAATGAGAATTAATATTACCGCTAATGATAATACAATCGATGGATTAAAACAAGCCACGTTTAACTCAAATGTATTTCAACAGTAACTTCAAGATAATACTACACCCGGTAGACTGTAGAAGTCAAATTTAATCTAACTTGAATTCTCCTTAGAATTAAGAATTACCAAAATAGGTGTCACGAGTTTTCAATATTTAAATTCATTCGGAGATAAACTTTGTTATACCGTTCGCCATTTCGTAATTTCACTGTCGCAATATCTTTACTCCGTTTCAAATAAAAAGCGACTATAGACACAGATATGATCAGATGTGATCTCAAGATCCAAAGATGAATCATTCTACAGAAATGGAATCCACGAATTACCATCACGCTGGGAAGAGGTCATTAGTAACGATGGAAATTATATTGTTCGGTAAATATTAATAAATGTATTGAAAATGTATTATTTTCTCTTCATTCAAAAACGGACAGAACTTTCCGGTAAATTTAATACTTACATATACAATCGCAGGCAGTACTAAATATAGAAAACATTCATTTCTGCACTTAATAAGTTAGAGGAACTTAAATTCCATCGAAACTGTAGCCCAATTCACATATGGGCAACTCGCGGCCAGCGGGCCGAGTATGGCCCCTTAACATATGATTTCTTTTCTGACTATGCATCCAAGCGTCAGCCATTTTCTGTTTTAGTACTGTATCAGGTAATCAAAACTAATCTGTCACAGATTATTTACATTTAGCAATCCTCAGTCTTATAAATTCAAACGAAAATTAGGATTACAATGAATTTTTCTTACTAATATAACTATTTTTCTCACATCTTCGCCAGAATCTCTGCCACGAGTCTGACAGGTTGTCATATGTTAAGGGGCTAAATCCGGCCCTCTATGTACCGATTAGTATCCTGTTTCATTTTATAATTTTAATACACTAGCCTTTTTTATTTAATACTTAGCCAAAGTTGTATCGAACACATTAATATATTGATACATAAAAACACACGCGAGAAATCATTTAGTTTGGCCCTTGACTCGGAGAGAGAATGATAATTTCGCCCCAGAACCAGGAAAGATTACCTAATTACGCACGTTCGAACGATAACCATATGTTGAAAAAAAAGCGGTAATTTAAACTCGAAACGATCAAACTTTGAATATACATTTTCATAGATTCCTGATGTATCTGGCACGTTAAGTTCAGACTTACGGTATTCCGGTAGCGTTAAGAAGTAGCCTGGTTATAATCTTTACCAGAGGAACACGTTTCTTGTTTCCAGTAGCTACGTCTGGGGAATATCAGCCCTACGGGGTAAAGGTAGAGCGAGACACGATGCTTCTTTACGCGTGCAAACTACACCAGCGGATCGGCTGGAGAGATCGTATGAACTGACGTCGTTACCGTATTACTTTAATAATTCAACGTGACACGATCCGTGATGTATTTCCATTGGCGTAACGAACGAGCCAGCTGGCTGAAGTTGACGTTGTTGCGAGTCACGGCTAGAATTACCACCGAGCCTCCACCACCCCGGGCTTCCGTGCGAAATTCTCAAACGGAGCGTAAAAAAGCGTTGCTTAATGACGAACTTTCGCGAGACGCTTATTTGTCCAAGGTTGCGAGATCGTTTTACCGAATACAAACAAATTCAGTTTGCGCGAATTTCTGCCCGGCGCGGCTGAGGGAAAACACTCATTATGTTTTCGCTCCAATCGCATGGTCCTTGGTGCACATTTATCCGACAACTTCTATGCTTCTTTCGAGTGCGGGAAAAGATGCAAAAAAGGAAAGGAAAAAGAAAAAATGTGAGGCTTTTTTTGAAAAAATAAAGTCAACTGTCGTGCATAGAAAGTGATGGTGAAATTTTGTTGTAGGCGTAACATTGTGAAATAATATTGTACTTGTTCAAAAGAGGTTCAGTCATTTTTAACGGTTACAGTTGAATAAACAGAAAAGATTGAAATTTTGATAAAATTAATTCTTAATAGACGACACTGCTTTGTTACATTTTATTGATTTTTTGCTTTGCGATTAAATCCTCGGGAATTTAGGAACAAAGGGATCAAAAATTAAGCGACAAGAAATGATCAAAATTTCAGGCTGTTTTGCAGTGCATCCCTAAGATGAATCTTCGAGTTTTCGATATCATAATCATTCACAATTTTCACATCGCGTGGAAATATAACAAGATTCGACTGATTTTAAGAAGACTACGAATATCGAACGGTTACATCGCAAACAAAATGCTGAGGCGATATTCTAATTCCATATATTTTTCCATTTGCCAGTTTTCATTTGCTTGAAAAAGTTTTGGCCGCCGTGAATCTGGCACAATTTTATTAAAACGCTGTTGCAGGCTGTTTTCACCGTAACACGTTTTATGCAACGTACAAAAATTGCATTTTCCTATTCAGTTATTTCTCGAAATTGTTCCCATTAAACGAAAATTATTACTTTCCCAGTTACGTTTTGTACAGGTTGAAACAGCCGTTATAAAACTATTTCAATCCTGATTTTAGAAGTCACGTCCTTTCAGTATAACTTTTCATTGTGAGAATCGAAAAACGTATTTTCGGAACTAGGTTGTCAAAAGATTTCTACATGATTCATACTTCATACGGGATGATTGCAAAAATTCGTGCCCGATTTTCAGAGGTGGCGGGAACCTTATCGGCACTTCAGTACAGATGTTTGTTTCAGCGTTATGTTACATTCCTATCGAAAGATACACCGCTTATGTTTTATTTTCAAATAATTATTTATTTCATTTCACTTTATTTCCAAATGAAACGTGCCTTTGCACAAACCCCTTGTGTTTCATTTTCAAATCGGGCACGAACTTTTGCAATCATCTAATATATACTCGACCAGTTAAAAATAACGTTCTCACGTTCACTTAAGTTTAAGTAAGTGATTTCATTTACCTGCCGCGTCTTAATTTAATTGCCCATCCGCTGTGTTCTATTACAAGATTCCTGGCTATTTTTAACTGACAAGGGAACATCCTGAAGTGATAGCTACCGAATTTGATGAAACTTTGGTATACAGTAGGTTTGAAAAAAATATTCGACGTGTATTTTTCTTATATCGGCAATCGTCCGTATTGAAGAGGTGGAAATCGCTCTATTAGTAGAATACAATAGATTTCAATAGAATTCAGTCGATTTTAATAGATTTTAGCAAATGTCAGTAGACGTTCAGCAGAATTCAGTAGATTTCCGCAGGTTTCAAGAGATTTCAATAGATATTACTACAGTCCGTTCAATTTAAGAGTAACCTCGCTTCGCGCATGGGATATGCCTAAGGCAGAGCTAGAACGTCCAAACCCCCATTTAACCGTCTACGTTTTTCTCCGTCTTACCCTCTGCTACGCTCTTCGTCTACTGTTCCAGGCGTGACGCTTTCATATACACGGTGACATAATTAATTCTCTATTTACTCTTTTTCACTTTTCTTTTTTTTTTTTTGTACCTAATGAAATTGGGTACTTTATAATGTCTTTTAAGAATTTAAATGATTTTGAATCGTTCCCTAAATATTGATATTTTTATATTGTCCGGCTAAATTCATTCAACTCGCCACTATTCGTCTGTTATAAACCGCTGCGTTAATATACACACAGTAGGTGCGCATACTTTATGCACTGTTTACATTGTCGTCGCTCTTGGGCCTTGGCGAAATAGCGCTACGACCAATCGCATGCGTCACATTGGTAAGTAGTAGTGGGAACTGCGCAGAACGGACGAAAATCGGTCCGAGAGCGAGGTTACTCTTAAATTGAACGGACTTTAGAGTGCATCTTTTGTTCATGTTAGAGTAATAACGAAGTGAGAGTGCATTTAAAGATGCATTTAAAGCTTCACATTCGGTAAGTGTCCCAATACTTACGAACGAGAGTGTACTTACATGCTAATTGATGTACAATAGAACCTGTCCCTTGAAAATAAAATCCTACTAAATACAAATTCGATTATTATCCCTAAATAGTGAACTACGAATAGGTGAGGGTGATAAACGCATTTGGTCATAAATTATTTTGTTTTATTTTTTAAATTTGTCGTTGAAAAATAAAAATTCGTCAATTTACACTATTCCTCTATCTCTAATAGTTTTCCAGATATTAGACTATTTAAATGTATTTTCTACCTCCAACTTTGAGGACGATTTTCACCCCTTCATTGTGAACGATTGTCGGTAACCAAGATACGTGTCAAATATTCTTTTTAACACTACCGTATATCAGAGTTTCGTCAATATTGACGATTATCATTTCAGTATGTTCCCCAGTACGACAATAATAAATCTGAATTTTATAGCTGCACGAAGCTACCCAAGATTAAACTAAGAATCTTACGAGTTACTGTCAACGTAAAAATTTATATTAAAAATTTTTCACCTACCTGATAAGGTCGTAGATTGTCTATTACACAGGCTAACACAGCATCTCGACCTCTGATTACGGTTACGTTCTGAATCTCCTCTGCGAACCTGGGGACGTCGGTGTCTGGGGAAGAAAAATGTTAAATGTCATTGATTGTATGTTCAAAGAACTTTTTATACGAATAATTATTTACACTTCGTTCGAGCTACTTCTGTCAATATGTTTCAGCGCTGTTTACCATTCGTTGTTCGTGGAAAAAGCGGACTATAATTACGCAACAAACGTATTTTTACGTTTAATATTTATCGCATGAAAACGTAAACATGTATCAGTGATTCACGAAGGTGTCTGAACGCTTGGATTTGGAACTTCTTAACAAATGAAATATGTTTGTTAGACTGAAGTTGTCGAAGTAGTATTGGAAACAGAATATGAGATAAATGGCGGGATTGTACTGGTAAGATTAGAAGATAATCCAATCACGTATACAGTATGGCGGCTGGTTATGGAAGGAGGAAATAGAGACGGAGTTGTACATATATAGGGTGTCCCAGTTTTTTCGGATCAAACTTCGTCGACACGTTCCATGGAAATAAGTAAGAAAAAAATGTTATACGAACACAGGTCGTTTGAAGCTTCGTTACAAAGTTATAACAATAATACGAGATAGGAAGGGGATGACGTTGTAAATAGCAGTAATGCCACGTTTCGCAAAGAAGTAATGTAAATCTTCTGCAGTTCAAAGGAAGAATTATACAGGCTTTCGAAGAATTAAAACAAAGCCGTTTGAGTAGACATTTTACGAGCAACAACGCTCTTCGTTGCCCGCGAGCACTGCTGTGGGGGCAACGTGAAGACCAATTCACATCGACACTTGTAAATGAAGTGAGGAACAATGGTAATGACGGAAATGCAGGCTTGTTGGTGTGTTCGAGAGACGTTTCGTACCATCGATTACTTTTTTATCTTCTCACTCTTAAGTCGGGCGATCGCTACTATACATAATTAAGCACCATAAGATCGTTGCTTAACCCTCGAACAGCCGACCGAAAACAGTGACGCGGTACACCAACGCCGGGTCTCTTTTGACCCATACTGGAATTTTTACTATATGTATGTCAGAACTGATCTTTAAAAAAATAAAAAAAATTTTGCAAGTTTTGGAACAAAGATTGCTAAAAATCGGACCAAAAAGGTTACCACATACTGCCCAGATTGTATCGATCAGCCGCATTTATGTTTGAAATGCTTTAATACGATACACCGGTAGATAGAAGATTTGAAATAAAAATTTTTAATTGTCGAATAGTGCACATTTTATTTCAAAGTATTCTCTAATCAGCGATGATGTTCAAAATTCATTAACTGTCAACGTTCATTCAACTTTTACAATTATAAACATCTGAAGCACTCCGGTCACCGATGACCACCGTGGCGCTACAGGAGAAACAATCTGCGGTCACATATGACCACCGTGGCAGTCAACGTGTTAACGTTATCGCTATCCACAAAGTTTCTGTGTCATGGTTATTATTATTTTTCAATTTAAATTCGTGACAATGTAAACCACATTTTATACGTTTTAATCGTTTCATTTCTTTTTTTTTTTATTATACTCATAAGCATACGAATTTGCATAAAAATCCGCAGTCTAATAATTACGTACATTCTATGTGCATTCGAATTTCGTTGTAGAAAAGCACTTTTACGAGTGAAAATTTTGCTTTCATCTTTCAATATAGGTTAAAAAAGTATAACAATACCAATGTGTACGGTAATAAAATAAATACATTCTGAAATATGCTTGAACACAACGTGTGAAGTATACGGGAAACAGCTGTCATCTACTACGATAGTTACGGGAAATATACCGTTGTGTTTTGAAAGATTGTTATGCAGTCGGGTAAGAACTAAAAGTAATTCGATTCGCACCTAAATCTTCAAAGTCACTTTAAGAATATAAGTATAAGTGAAGTCTGCAACTTTCGGAACTGTCACGAAAGCAATCGAAAAGTTTCGTAATCATTATAAGGTGAAACTTTCCCCCACTCGAATTCACAGCTTCTGAAATAATTTCAGTTAGAAGCAATATAGCCATCGCGTGAAAATTATTACGAAGGAAACAACCTGGCGAGAGAATGTAAAACATCAACTCGAGTTTCCTGGCAAATGAAACGAAGTTTCGTTATCGAGCCGCGCGTTCAAGTCGATAGAGAGGGAGAGAGAGAGAGAGAAAAGAAGAAATTCGCATCGTCTTCAAGCGTAAATACCGCGTATCGCTGGACAATGAACTGGTTGGCAAAGATTGCGAGTTATTACCGTAAGAGCCGCATAACGAGTTCAGGATTCAGTCTGGGCCGTGCTTAAAAGCTTTTACCTTCGTTAATGTCTTTACGACGTCCCGTGAAGCTGAATTATTTATGGGCGCAAAGAACCCATAGAGAAGGAGAAATAGAGAAAGACAGAGTGAAAGGAAGGTGGTGGAAAAGGGCAGGAAAAAGGGAAAGAAACGAAGAGACGAGCTTAAAGATGAGAACGAGTTACTTTCAGCTTTTTTTTTTCTCTCAAACTCACAAAAAGAAATACCGAGCACCGTTAATTATGTCAGTTATACTTTATTATACCACGGTTCTCCGCGTTAATTATGACATCTACAGCGTGAATGCGGGAGAAAAAGAGGAGAGAAGTGGTGTACAGTACCTACAGAGCACAATGCTTGTAAAAATTCAATTGTATTAACTTGCCTGATTTGTAATAAATAGACGCGAGAAATTGAAACTGTTTTCTAACGCCTTTTAGCGTAATACTGTCAATTTGCAACTGATAAAAGATAAAAGGATGTTTAAATTGATGGAATATCCTAGGATCTATTAATCGTTTCTTTTTAATTAGCTTGCCTGAGGCTATCTAATACTCTATTAAGAAACAAAGAAAAACCTGGAAAACTCGAAGAGTGGATTCTTTCCTCTCGCAGTGAATTGTTCTCGGGAAAGAAATTATTTCGACCCAAAGTTTCGTTGAAATGAAAACTTTTGGATCGGGAGACTTTCCTCGTCGGTAGATTCTATTACATTTTGTTATACATATTCTTATTTAGGGGATTATTCTGGTTCTCTGGGTCCAAAAAATAGACACTGCTCTTTGTATTCTTGCTGTTGGCTCCCACAATGTTCATGAAGCCGATTATACAGCAAATAATTCTTTATTTGCAACACAGGTTTTTATGTACGAAGAATACAATATAACTAAGTTCTTAAATGTTAAATATGTACGAGTCCAATGTCCTGAAATTCAAAGTTTGTGTAATCGTTCGTGCAAGAGTTCAGAGTTCTATTTGTCACTGTGTTTCTTCTCACAACAAAGTCACACTCCTGGTCTATCACTGTTCAGTCCTTTTATGTGTTCTTGTCCGTCCATTTGGGTCCCTTGACGGGGGTGAGATTTGGGTGGGAGGCCGAGACTCCCAATCAAATTAGGGCCTTGGTCGACGCCTGACGCCAACCGCTCACCCTTAGGAAAGGGGTGTACTGGGTGAGGTAGGCGTCACTTGAGCTTATGGGAAAAGCCCAGGGTAACGGTCCTGCTCGCAGAGGCTCTCTAAGCCTTATAAAAATAGCGGTGCAAAGTCAAATTTTTTTGACAGCGATCGATAACCGAGAAATCACGCGTACGCATTTGCTCGATCGCGCGCAGATGAGCCTCTGTTCTCCGTCCCTGAGCGCGGGCTCTACGCGCGCTCTGATTGGCCAGTGTTTTTCGTTAATAATTCAGTCAAAGAAAAAGTTGTTCAGTCACCCCAGCAACCCCCCATTTCCGGGTGTTCGAGGAGTTACGGGACACCCTGTATACCTCATAATTTACTATTAATATTTGAAACGTAAGTACAGACATGCAGTATGTTAAGGCGTATCCTGTAGCCGGATTTATGGCAGCGAGTCAAGTGGTCGCCGTCGCAGGCAAATATCGCTTCCTCAAAACACCACAAGTGTTTATTGCGTTGCCTGCGACACTTAGTCCCTAGGACCAGACCCTGCCAAAAATCCTGGAGTCTCCGAACGAAAAATAGAAAAGTGGCCCACGATTTTTGCCAACGTCGATGGGCCACTTGACTTTAACAAAGCCTAGAAAAGCGGAGATTCCACAGGATTCCCACGCATCCGTCCACCGAACACTGTCTCCGGTCGTCGTTTACCCCACCCTAAGATAACGCGCTAAGGGCGAAATGGAGGAAGGTTGCGATGCACCGGAGTAAACTGATTGGTGATTTAGAAAATGAAAAATCACCAATCAGGGTGTTTTTGGGAAAATAGGAGTCTTCGTCGAGGGAAACCGCAGAGACTCCAGCAGAAACACTTTGCGACTCGCGGGAGAAACACTTGGCCACTCGCAAGTGAAACACCTCTCACTTTGCAGTAGAATTTATATCTTGAATTAGTTGTAGAAAATAGAACATAAAATAAAAACTTAGTGCTTCAATCAAGAAACTGGTCCTTCGAAGCCTTAGAACATTAGTCGGCACACACGTGCAAAAACCGGCAAAGCTTGAACGATCGAAAGATCAACCGCAAGCCCTAACACAGTATGTGTATACTTGAAAACAGGTGATCGAAGTGGCATTTAAATACAGTTTTAAAATGACGAAAGTAAAATGCATGTTTCCATGTCAGGTGATCAATTGCTCTTATTGAGTTCGTGCATTCTTTAACAATTAATTAATCAATAAAACACCACATATTATGCGTAACTTTATCTTCAGATCTCTCGTTATAGAACTCAACAATGCAGTCAAAATTTTACATTATACAGCAGTGCGCAGTATATTAGCACGAGGGAGAGATACAAGTTTGTGATAGTAACGTGATACCGTTGTTCCGCAACGAATTAATTAAGACAATTGCCGCGTCCTACAATTTCACACTATATTTCTCCAAAGTTCCTAGATGCAGTACGATTGTATCTTCAGTAAAAATACATATTTCAAACGTTTCACTATTAATATACCGAAAACTGATTACTCGCGAGGGAAATTCGGTAAACCAAAAATTCCAAAGAATTTCTAACATTGTGTGTACAAATAACGAAACCAATTTTTGTTTCGACAATGAAACGGTCCAAGAAAATTG